AATCCTTATTGGACAACGACGATGATGATGAGGATGACTTCCTTGAACCCGTGCCGGAAACCGTTGGTGGCGGGAAAGATTCCTGCGATAACAAGCCACGAGCGTGCAAGTAGGATAAGTTATCTCTTTGTGTGAATTATTACTTCCTTTCTGAGACCATCGATGGGATGAAATAACTTGAAAATCGCCTCCAATATGAATCCCTAATTTTGGAGTGGGCGGTTACTGATGCTTATTTACTCTAATCCGGCTCGAATGTGTGCATAGTTACGCGTAGTCGTGCTTGTGATAGCTAGCTGATCCGAAATAGTTAATCCCAGTTGTTAAGTGGTGTGCTTACTACTCTTAGAAATTGCAGCTGTGGACGTGCCGAATTAGAGGTAAAGGTTGGTGCGGAAGAGGCCAAGAAGAGGATTGAAGAAGCCAAGAAGGGCGAGGTCAAGAGTAACTGTGGAAACTGTTATCTTGGCGACGCATTCAGGTAGTGACGCATGCGCTAAGGAGTCTCGCTTCCCATCGAATTTTCATGTTCCAAATCCACCAGCAAATAAATTTTGTCGCGGAATATGGTCATTGTCAATTACATGTGTTGGCGACAATATTGGAAGTCTGGGGAAACTCGTATTGGTTCCTGTACACTTCTACCCTAATTCGTATGTGATTATCTCTAATAAGTAAGGAAGTTCATGAGCTCAGTTGAGAAACGTGAGCATATATTTCTCCAACACTAAGAGTTAATGGGCTTAAATTATCTTCCCAGATCACAACTAGGTATCTGCATTTTTTTATAATGATTAGACTCGTTGAGCGCTATAGTAACGTTTCCGTATCAGATGTGGTACCTGTCCGTATCGTGGGTTACCTGCCTTCAAGCCCGGTGAGAAGATTCAGATGGATCAGTTGATATCTGATATTGACGCTAAAGTTGAATAGACAATCTGCTGCTCACTACTGTTATATTGCATCACTAGCCTCTGTTCAATTGTATCAATAAGACATATGAAAGTGTACTTTCAATCACTCAACCCATAGACAATCTGCGTTTGGTCAAGTTACTTTTAATTGAATCGTACATCATTGGTTTGCGCTACATATTCGCGAAGAGTTTATACGGTAATGTGTATATTGGAAGTCACTTCAGATCCACATCCGACCGTATTACACTTCCCTAAGGTGTAACAGATAATAGGATATATACAGCGTAGTCGGTTATCTATAGCTTATGTTAGCTAGAGTGTGCAGTAGTTAACACAGCTGAGTCAGCCCAACTCAACATGGCGTTCAGCAGTCTTATATATCGAAGACGACATTCAACTTGGTCTTGCACTGTCGTGTAGATGTGCTGAGATTGTGGTATGTCGCAGTTATTCCATCCAACTTCGACACTTTGTGGAACACAAATCAATGATTGTCCAACACCATTACAATGATACACTGATTGGCTCTGCTCACCAATAAGCAATGATTACCATGCATGACAAGACTAAAAAAGGAGATATGTGGTAAGTTGGTAAATGATAAATCATCGATGGGGCTTCAGCAGTCGGCCCCGAGGGACCAATAGAGGCATAAGGAACTGCTGATTCCTCCCCGAATCGATACCTGAAGTGGGCGAAATCGTCCGGAAACGGAGTATTTAGCTCAGTGCATACCCTTCAAAAACGTGCTGAAATACCAAAACCCGATCCTCGCCGAGCATTTTGACAACCCAGTAGTTCGCGTTCGGCAGCTGGGATGGATTTTTCACCGAGAAATTAATGATCACCTGAGCAACCATACTACACGAACACAGAACAAACAGGTCTCTCACCGTTCCCTCGCGAAGACCTTCAACTTCCGTTACTTGTCCTAGACTCAGTGATGCTCTCATAAGACGAATAATGAGGCGATTTCCGGCTACTGATACCTGGTAAAAAAGTAACGTACGAACAGCTCGGCAATCTTGAAATATATGTTCGCTTTCCTCAGCTGAGCTCAGGAGTTTCCTCACTAACTATACATGTTCACATACAAATTCGGATGTAAATGTACAGAAACCAATGAGAATTTCATCAATGTTCCTCAGAAATTTCACAGGTATCACCTACACGTCTAGCTGACTACGTGTATACCTCTCCACACCAAAGCTCAATAAGGCACTCACCGGAGCCACATCCGATACGGGGATGTTGTCGGACAATACGACGTTGGACGGAGCGGTCATTGCCACGTCCTGGGGCGCCTCGACCTGATTGATACAGCAAATCTTAACTGTGAAGAGTCAACGGAATCTTACATGTATTTCGAGCACCTCTTCAGGTTGCATATCTCGGCTGATTTTTAGGACTATTTGAACTTTCGAGATGCTCTGAGCTTCTACAGCATCCCATGCTAGGGCGGAGCCAATGATCGGGACGTTGGCCAGATCCTGAGGGAAACACCCCATAACACAGTAAAGTAATCATTAACTCTGCCAAGTTCTCGATCTCTTCAAAGCTCATATAGCGACCTCAGTTCTTTGTTTGCTATCGTGGATGCCGCTCTTACTAATAATGACGCGTCCGAGCAAACAGGCGTCGATATCCTCAAATACAGCATTCATACTTGCTGAATTCCGACCAAACTGGGAGGAGGCGAATTGATTCTGGCTATGTCTCGACAATTATACTCCTCTGCTGCGACAGCTCCCTCTCATAACAGTATTATTATGGAGTGATTCTCTTTGAACTCACCATGCCTAGGACCGCCATATTAGCGTCGATGGTGTTTCCTTCTGTATCACGAAGTATCAGCTCGAAGGTATTTCTACTGATGCCAGTATCAGGGTCTGGTGTAAGCGGAGCACCGGGGTTGACGATCTCAATAGCCACAGTGAAGCCACTGAAAAAGTAACCTAGCCGAGGATCGAACCCGGGCGGACTCTACATCCCTTGATCGATGGACACCTCAGAAAAGTGAAGCTTGATGGCTGACCCCGTAGTGCCGATCTGTTCCTCGCATTGAGGAGGCGTCAACAGACCGACACGATACGACGGGGTACACTTCAGTTCATACCCGACCGGTGGTGTCTGCAATAAGACTGAGTCTTCGATTACAACGAGCACTTAAACGAGTAGTGCAACAAATACAACTGATCGTCATCTTTTTCGTGAATGTAACTCTGCCACTCAGGTTGTTCGTTAACTTGAAAAACTTGCACAAAATGCGAAAAAATAGCCACATGTGTTGGTGACATTATGAATATTCTGCGAAAATTCTGGGAAATCCTCAGTGTTTTCTGTACACTTTTATCACAATTTGTATATAAACTTCTATAATTAGTGAAGAAACTCTTGAACTCAGCTGAGGAGAGCGAACACATATTCCTCCAACACTGCTTGCACAGAAAAGTGTAGACAAAGTTGAACTCACTATATCGATTTGAATAGGACCAACTATTCCCTGGGAAGACACGAATGTGAAAAATCCCGGAGCGCTCACGCCAAGACGGTTACTGCCCACAAACCTGCCAACAAGTAATTTCGTGGCGCGCGAAATATTGATAATCTCCTTACTGTGCCTCCATCGCTTTAATTTCATACCCCTCCTCGATCTGAATGTACCAGTAATGAGAAATGTTAGCATCGAGATAGAGAGCAAGTCGCCAGGAATTGTCAAGTGGTGTAGCATCAGGATTCACACACACCATATCGATAATCGTTTGACCTGCAAAACGACAAGCAATATTCTCTGTATTGGAGTTTCAGCCGTGATATGAAAAACATATTTCACAATTCACTTGGCAGAAAACAGCTGCGTTGTCGGTCAAGAAAAAATACACGTCCTGAATTTACATGGAGTATTACGCCACTTCACGCTAAACGGCTGAGACACTATTGAGTCGCTGGTTCTTCTACTCAACGCATGAAAACTTAAGAGAATAGAAGCGCCTTAGGTCCGCAATCAATAAAAGCAACCTTTTTCAGTATAGTCCTATCGATCGACAGCACCGCGAGTCAAGACAAAAATTTTCAGAAATTCCTCCTCGATAGGGGAAAAATTTCAAAATAAATCGAAAAAATCAACAAAATTTCTGAAAAAAATAACCCCGGAGAAAAATGCGGCATCAGAAGAGCACTCCTAAATTTTCTTTTCTGAGAAATGATACTCCAATGTTAAGTTCACATATAATGTGGGGAAATATAAACATGGTCAACTACATAGAGAAATTCTGAGGAAATTTGGAGGAATTCTCTGTGCACTTCTACCCGGATTCGTACGTAAACTACTATAATGAAATTTCTGAGCTCAGCTGACAGGATCTAACATATATTCCAATACTGCTCACACCGGATCTTTTCCGTCAAGTTTAACCAAAACAGGATAACTATTTCGCGCGCCACAAAATTGCCTACCTGCATTCAATACATTCGTTGCTGTAGTGAGGGTAGCGACATTCTCATCGCCGTTGCAGTCGTTAAAAACCGACCACTGATCCTCTGTTGAGGAGTTCGTCACACAAGAGCTTCCGATAGAAAACTTGAACCCTTTGGGCGCTGTTATTTCCAACGACACATAGTTCTCGCCGATCAGCATGGCGCTCAGGTGAAAGGAAACCTAAATTTGAAATTCCAATAGAAACACAAGAAACACGATTCGGTCTAAGGCACTCTTCGGAAATTCTTATAATGGAGTTTCACCCGTGAAATGAAAAACACTAGTGAAAAACATATTTCACGACTACTGCACAGCGCGCGAATATTGGGTTTTTCACAGAGTATTGCGCCACTTCACGTAAAACACCCGTTTCACGTGAAGTGAAATATGTTTTTCACTGCTG